CCTCTGGATTCGCCGTTTGTGTAAATTCGATACGAATCGAATATTTCCATCCATTGAGAATTCGTTTCGTACCTCTGGATTCGCCGTTTGTGTGCATTCGATGCGATTCGTTTTCTTTTCTAAAGATTCACTCTGAAGCTACCAACTTATAAATTATTATTAACAAACAGAAACTCTAGCCAAGCTCCCTAACTCGATATATTTTAGTGGACTCACGGGATCCACTCAAACCAGGGGAAAGTCGCGAGCTGTAGTCAAATGCTTAAGGAACCTGAGGAATCAGCATGCGCGTCGGTTAGCCGCTCTAAATAATATGATATTTCTCAGGATGATCACTCCTCTTCTCCCACTTTTCCCTCATTCTTCCATCATAATAAGAAACCACAAATAAATCCCTCACACTCATACACATATATACATACACAATCACACCCGCGTAATGTAAAATCCGACAATACAAAGATGTAATCTACTTATTATATTTTATTCTATAATTCTAAATGTAACGATTAGTTAAGTGTAATGTCTTAGTAAAAGTAAAACTATCTGTCCTAATGTTTAGTTAAAATTATCTTTTTTATTTTTATAATTCTAAATGCAATGTCAAGTAAGAATCTTCTGTAATCTCTGATATAAAATATCAAGTAAAAATTTTCTAATGTAAAGCCTGATCTAAATTATCCGTTCTGATGTTTAGTTGAAATTATATATATATAAATAGATATAATATATATATATATATTCCTAATTGTAATGCTTGACCCAAGTTATCTGTTCGAATGTTTGTCAAAACTATCTTTTTTTGTTATTCTAAATGTAGTACCTAGTTAGTTAAAATTATCTTTCCCAATAATTCTTTAAGCCAGTTAAAACTTATGTTCCTTTTATCTTAAATGTAATAATTCTAAATTGTTTTATACAAATAAGTATATATGAAACTTCTATTTTTGATTATGACAAATATACTGGTATGTTAAACTTTTCTTTTTCATATTCATTTTACTTTTAAAGACCTCACCCCTTCGTTCCCCTTTGAGAGTGCACAAGGTCCGTCCCAGGGTAATAGGGATTAATTTCCTTGACCCAAAACTAGGACCTGCGATCGCACCGCTCTTGAAAAGAGTCAGAGTGTCCTTTCGGGACATTGTCCTTTTCAGAGCCTTTGAAAAGTGCGTTCGGCTCGCTTCCACGCGCCTCCGAGCGTGTTAGCGAGACATTTAAAATTGCTAGTTGCGTCATTCCATATCTCCACGTCTGGAAACCCTATTCGTCGGCTCCCGTTAATCTCTATTTTCCTTCCCGAAACTTATTCCAAGAGGTTTTGACGTAACACATATGTTTTTTTAAATACATAATTTATTTTTAAATTATCAAAAGTAAAAAATAATTAACATTCAAAGTGCTCTATCTGCCTAAAAATTATTTTAATCAATACATTATTGATTGCGATACATTATGTAAAGAATTAAGCTGCACATGCGTTATACCCTAATGTGAAAAGTGGATAACACATAGCCTATGACCATCCCGATAGTCCAAAAAAACTTGTGTAGAAATTTTAATTTAATCGATCAATTAGTAAAAGAAATCATCTGCACATACGCGCTCCCCTGATAAAGCAAAGCAGAAATGTATAGTCTATGACACTTCTCAGAAGCTAAGGAAACTTGTATTTTTCAAGTCAATTGGCCTATTAGTTTAAGAGATTGACCTAGTTTACACTGAGCATTTGATACACGTGCCAAGTGGGTACTATATTCTTACTAATTGTAAGTCATTTAATACGCACGGTATAAACGCACGAGAATTACTTAACTGCGTTTTGGTTTTGTACTCCTGTATCACGAGTATCAGACCAAGTTGATACCCGTATCAAACAATTCTAGCGCATTGTAAACGCTTGAGTCACTTAGTTCGTATATCATTGTTAAATTCAGATTGGATGCATTCAGTAGCACTACCGTTCAGTTTGCAGCAGTAGAATTTTATCTAGAATTTTACTAAAAATCTATCCAGGCCTGTTTTAAAAGTATTAGTCGGTATAAACAGGGACGTATCAAATGTTTAATCCACACCAACTTGATGCGCGCACCAACTGATTTAACGGTGTAAACTACATCATTATCGAGGACAAACAAACCCTCTCTCTTTATAATATTAGTATACGAGATAGATATACATAGATATACAGGGTGCCTTATTTTAAATGATCCACACAAATATCTCCAAAATATGAAAGATACGGAAAAACGTTTCAAACAAAAGTTGTTTGGTTTGAAGGTGAATATAAGGTAGTATACAATAGGTACCATATACAATAGGTACCATAGTGGTACCATCGACTTGACCTTGGATAGTCATTTGTAGGACACGTCAAGGTCACCTTCAATTTTTTTAATGGAACTCCCCTATTGTTTATTATACTATCTTATTCTACTGATTAATATGAACAACTTTGTCTAAAACATTTTTTGATTTGCCTAATACTTTTTGAGATATTCAAGAGGAAATTTATAACATTTTCAATGTTTAGCTTATAATATCTCGATAACTGTTTGTTGGAGAGAAAAGTAGTACAGGATTTTTTGACTTAATTTGGTCTCAGGAATATGCGGTTGCAATAGTGCTCCAATTATTGAAAATTGTTTGTGTGTGTGTAAATTTTGTGTGTTACAATACACAAAAATTTTCAATAATTGGAACACTATACAACAACATATTCCTGAGACAAAATAAAGTAAAAAAGTCCTGTACTACTTTTCCCTCCGTCAAACAGTTATCAAGATATCATAAGCTAAACATTGAAAAAGTTATAAATTTTCTCTTGAATATCTCAAAAAGTATTAAGTAAATGAAAAATGTTTCGGACAAAAGTTGTTCATATTAATTAGTAGAATAATATAGTATAATAAATGCATAATAGTAAGTATAATAAACAATAGGGGGTTGCATTAAAAAAATTGAAGGTGACCTTTACGCGATCTTCAAATGATTATCCAAGGTCAAGTCAATGGCACCACCTTGTGCCCCCCTTCGAACCAAACAACTTTTGTTTGAAACGTTTTTCCGTATCTTTCATATTTTTGGAGATATTTGCGTGGGACATTAAAAATGAGACACTCTGTAGATTAGACTACAGGTAGTAGCGCGTACGGTAAAAAGTACGGAAAGTATGAGTGTGTTGTAACTATGTTGTATGTTATGTTTGAGACTGTAAATCAAGTCTTATTCCTTGACCGTTGTACTGAAGTGTAATAAAGATTATCTATTATTTCCTCTTCCTAACTGCATTCTAACGGTGAAGTAATGTTACATTTATGAAATGTGAAAAGAGACACAGAAACACAATAAAAATAATAAAATATAATAAAATAAGTTATTGGTATTATCATTAATAAAATATATATTTTTGTGTGTTTGCAGAATCTTGGCCACTGATTATCAAAAGTATCAACATACCAGCTATTGTAAAAGTTAACGATACGGATTATATTATTCTCGATTGCAATTACGATCTCGAAAACACATCGAGCAAGGGTCTTGTTGTCAAATGGTTTTTCAACACCAACCAACTAGTCTACCAATGGATTTATGGCAGACCCCCTCTGGCAGACGAACCTGCTGCAAAATACGTTGATTTAACTTACAAAGCCAGCGATGATCCATATACTGAATACCGAGCCATAAAGTTGAACAAGCCGGGTATCGATCTTACTGGCGAATATACATGTGTTATATCTACCTTTGCAGATGAACGAACGGCAAATGCATCAATGATAGTATATTGTAAGTGTAGAATTTTATTCTCATTCTCTCTCTCTCTCTCTCTCTCTCTCTCTCTCTCTCTCTCTCTCTCTCTCTCTCTCTCTCTCTCTCTCTCTCTCTCCCCCCCCCTCCCTGTATATGTATGTAAGCAGTGTAGAAAGAAGATAAAAACGCAGTTGATTAAATGTATACCTTATGACAAGAATTTTCATCCAAGTTGTCAAAAATTGCATAAGGTGTATAACACGGAAAATGAACTTATTAATTATGCTGGAAAGTTTGAGGTATTTACAGTAAAAAGAAGTTAATAGTGGTGAAACTAGTTCGACGATGAAACACACTTTATCACAGTCGGAAGAAAAGCAACATGGATCCATGGAGAAGAAGATTGACTGGTTTTTGCACAAAATCAAGGAGGAAATGGTTAGCAAGAAGGAAATCAAGAATATAATTATGGATATAGTTAAAGATGAAACGAACAGTTGGAAGAAGGAGGTGGAAGAAATGAAGAGGATGATAGGAAATCTTACCAAAGTAATGAAAGATGAAGTACAAATAGTGGTGAACATAAGTATAGAGACAGGAGAGAGAAAAAAAGAGTTATAGTGGAATTGCAAAAGGAAATCAGACAGAATCAGTGTTGGTTATTAAACCGAAGGATGGAGAAGAGAACAATTCTAGTAAGAATACAAAATGGATATCAGAGAAGTTGATATCACGAAATTAGGAGTGGGAATCACAAAAATGAAAAAAGTGACAAGAGGAGCAGTTGTAGTTGGATGTGAAAATAGAGAACAAGCTGAAAAGCTGAAGCAAGAAGTGGTGAGATTTAGGGAAAAAGTAAATTCAAGTACCAAAGAAAAGGGAACCGAAAGTGAAGATATTTGATGTGGATAACGAAGATTGTAAAAATGAACAGTTATTTTGGGAGAAAATACATAGAAGAGCAAAACAAAATGCAAAAGAACACCGTCGAGGGGAAGATAATACGGAAAGTGGCAAAAGCAAATATCAAAAAGACGGTGGTAATAGCGGAGGTAAATACCGAAACAAGAGAGAAATTTATGCAAAGGGAGAAATTAAAAATAGGATGGAACATGTGTAAAGTACAGGATTATACATATAGGGATTTAAAGGTGTTATAAGTGTTGTGGGTATTATCACTTTGCGAAGGATAGTATAAAAAGAGAAACGTGTAGAAATTGTGCTAATCAGCATGCAACAAAGGAATGTAAAAGTGAAATAAAGAAATGTATAAATTGTGAAGAGAAAATTAAGAACTTTAAGATTAAAAATTTAAAGTCTAATCATTCGGCGTATGATAAGGAGTGCCCATGTTTGGTAAAAGAAGTAGAGAAACAGCGAGAAAAAATTCAATGCGATAATAGATAGCAATCAAAAAGTATAAATAAGAGTAGAAGTAAAGTAATTTGTTTGAACGCGCAGGGATTTTTGAAACATAAAGATAAAATAGAAAATGAATTGGTAATAAAGTATAAATCAAGTGTAATAGGATTTACGGAAACGCATGTAACAAAGCAGATAGAGGAACATGAATTACACATCAATGGATATGTATGTATACGAGGCGATTCGGAGTCGAATAGAACAGGTGGAGTGCTGTTATATTCTGTTATAAAGGAAGGAATTAGGTTTGGTGTATTAGTGAGTGAAAGATGTGATGGAAATTGGAGGACAATAATAGTAAAAATAAACAAATTGGAAATTTGGATATTACTTCGTCATTATGAAGGCAAGTGATTATTAAAAATTTGGGCAACCTCATTGAAGAGGCTTTATGAGTTAAGGTGCATTTTGAAAATTGCTTACTCCAGAATTTTTATTTGCACACAAAGCTTTCTCTATGAGAAAGCCATATCCAAGTTTCTAATTCTCCTCCTCTTCGCATATATGTTTCTGGCTTTCTCATAGAGAAAGCTTTGTGTGCAAATAAAAA